TAATAAAAATAAATGAAAAAAAAAAGAAAAGTAAGAAATACAGAAGTGTTATGTTTCTATGCCAACTCCCATTTATTTGCAGGATGCTTGGCATGGTTACTCCATGCCTATCTCCTTTGAGTATCTGTCCTTCTGCTTGTTTCATTCTATTGATGCATGCTCCCCACAAACACTAGAGTGATCTCTCTAAAACACATATTGAATCACCTTACACACCCAAGCTTAAAAATCACCAATTACCCCATTCCCCACCACAGGGTTTCTCTGACATTGAGTTAACTGAGATCATTCTCTCTTGTGGGTGGTGTCCTGTGCACTGTAGAGTGTTTAGCAGCAGCCCTGGATTCTTCCCAGCTAGATGCAACTAGCACTTCCCCTCCTAGTAGCAGAAGAATGTCCCACCAAAGATATCTACGTCCTACTCTCTGGAACTGGTGAATATGTTAGTGTACATGGCAAGTGGGAATTAAGGTTGCAGATAGAATTAAAGGTTGCTAATCAACTGACCTTAAAGCAATGAGATTACCTTGGATTATCCAGGTGAGCCCTATGTAATCGCAAGCATCCTTAAGAGTGTCAGAGGAAGAAATGACTAGAACATGGCTGGCATTAAAGATGGGGGATGGGGACACTGGAAAAGTAAAGGAAACAGACCCTAGAGCCTTCAGAAGGAACGTGGCCCTGCCAACACCTTGACTTTAGTCAAAGGGGACCTATTTCAGACTTCTGACCTCTACAAGTATAAGATAAGAGATTCGTATTGCTCTAACCCATACGTTTGGGGTAATTTGCTATAGCCACAAAATGAAGCTAATACATCACCACCCCCAGTTATGACAACCAAAACTGTCTTCAGACATTGCTAAATGTCCCCTGGGAAGAAAGTTGCCTCCAGGTTGAGAACTACTGTTCTTTGAAAAAAAGAGTCCAAACTCCTACCCAACCTGTTGAATGCTAGTGTCCAACATACAGTGAGATGTAGCCTGTGCTCCAGGCACACCAAACTTCTAACTTCAAAAAATCCTTTCACTTCCCTGCAGATTTGATGCCAAAGGGTGTCTTGGAGGATAGGCAATGCACTTTGGCCTTTCTGCCATTTTTATCCAAGCCCATAGATAGTTATTGTGCCCTGGAGGAGGGTACGGCAACCCACTTCAGTATTCTTATCTGAAGAATCTCCATGGACAGAGGGGCCTGGTGGGCTGCAGTCCACTGGATCACAAACAGTCAGACACAACTGAGTGACTAAGCACAGCATAGCATGCCTCCAAATATGTGTCTCATTTCTGGTTTCATTAGGCTGCTATACTAAAAACCATGTGGTTGCTACATATATTAAACTTCAGATATCTTAACCTCCTCCTCCAAACAAACAATTGCACTTAAGCTCTTCTAAGTCCTCTTTGTTGGAAACTCAGGCATCACCAACACCCCTGTGCCTTTGCAAGTCCATTCCTTTCTGTTTCATCAAGGAATCACTTCCCTTCTTCTTCTGATAAATGGCAATCACCCTTAAGAACAAGTTCAAGTGTTTTCTGCACAGTGAAGTTTTATAAGACTCCCCAAAGACTTCCCCAGTCCCTCACTGTGCTGACCCTTCTGCACTGCAGCTATTGGTTGAGTCATCCATGCTCCTCCTTAGACTGTGAGCTCTGTAATGGGTGACGCCATAATTTAGCCTCTCTTCATTCCTGGTACATAGAGAAATGCTTGTGCTCAAGAAGTTCTTGTGGTGTGAATGAAGAAAAAAGAATTCATGGATAGAGGCTGGCAAACTCCATGTCAGCTCAGCTCTGATCCAAAATAATTAGAACCCCAGGGTTAGAATGAGACCTTACTCCCTTATTTATGATCAGAGTAAAGGACAGAACCTGGCTGCCAAGAACAAAGCTGAGAAGTGTGCACCAACTGTATCACCATGTACCATTTATCCCCTTGTCTTCTCCCTTTTTCTACTCAATAGATATTCTACCCAGCATGTCCATGATCCAGATTTTATTAGAGCAATCCTAAAACACATAGTAAGGAAATACTGAGTTGCAGCTGACTTTGTCTAACACTTCCTCATTTTAAGCCATAAAATTGCCATTTGTGAGCTCTGAATGAGCAGAAGGCATAGAGCTACAGGCATTTAAGAGAGTCTGGGTCGGGAAGATCCCCTGGAGAAGGAAATAGCAACTCCAGTACTCTTGCCTGGAAAATCCCAAGGACAGAGGAGCCTGGTAGGCTACAGTCCATGGGGTTGCAAAGAGTCAGACATGACTGAGCGACTTTACTTTGCTTTACTTTGGGAGCAGGAGCCATTGTTTGAACAATTTAGTTTAAAACCAGAGAATCTGTTCAGAGAACTAAATAGAGATGGACGTGTTCCAATACTGGCTACATCTGAATGAAAGTGAATTCTCATGTTTGCCCATGGATTCAATGGAAGAGAAATTGAAAGTTGAATAAACTATAAGAGATCCATGGAATCTGTAGGCAAGACTCAAGAGGGATCTACATGCTTTTGGAATCGGAAGAAGGCCCCAAAAGGAAAGTTTCTGCCAGCTGAAAGCACTTCTGTGGACAGTCAAGATGGCCATCCTGTGGGGCTACATTCAACTCACTGGTGTTGGAGTTCTCAACTGGAGCAGTTTTGACCCCCAGAAGACATTCAGCAGTGTCTGCAGACATTTTTCACTGTCACACTGGTGGGAGGGGTGCTACTGGCATCTAGTGGGTAGAGGCCCAGGGTGCTGCTGAACATCCTACAATGCACAGGATAGTGTCCAGAGCAAAGACTCACTCAGCCACAACTGTCAGTGGTGCAGAGGCAGAGAAACCCCAAGCCAGAGCGACCAGGAGAAGCACAAGAACCAAGTCTGTGCAATCCAAATCTCCTTTCCAGGGCCCGTAAGTAACCTTGCAAGGTGCTCATATGCTGGACTTTTGACATCATTAGTAAAGATTCTCTTTTAGGACAAAGGACCCAGCTTGCTTACAAGTGAGAAGGACAAGCAGTGCTCAGTAGGATGAACTTCCTTGGTTTCTGAGAGGGTTCCAGGGCATTAAACCTTTGAAAGGTAATCCAGGCCATTAAGTTCCAGACCCTGGGGTTAAGTTAGGATATCTGGGACTCAAACAAAATCAGCCTGGGACTTTCATGCCAGGATTCTAACCAATCATTCCATGTTTGCCTCAAGAATAAAGGGATTACACACACACACACATGAACATTTTATGAAAAAAATTTTTTTCTTTTGTTAGATGGCTATGTACTTAGTTTTAACCACTACAAAAGAGGTGAAAGTCATGGTAGGTGAGCCTGCAGACTGCCTGTACACTGCATAGAACAATTTCAAGCCACCCAGTATTGCTGAAGTTCAGATACTTGTCCATTGATGATGAGATTTTAATGGATAAGAAGATTTCTAACCAGTTGTGATCATCCACAGTAGATTGCCTTTTCATCATAACAGTGATAAACAGCATCTGCATACTATATTCCAAGTACATACAGTTGCAAAGAAAAGCAGAGACATTCTTAATGATACAATTGGTTTAAACGTGAATGTGAGTGATTATCCAATCCAAGAACTTGGCTTGCTTTTTGCATTTCTTTCTCTCTCAACTCCTACAGACTAATCTGCTAATGTGTGTTTCTGATACAGAGTAGGAATCCAAGCTCCTCTAAAGACCAACAGAAATTCAACATTTAGATTCTTGACCCTCTTTCTAATGCTGAGTTCTCTGGTTTGGAGAGAATCTCTCCCTCTCCTATTTGACTTTTCTCTCTACTGTCTACTTTCCTCAAGAAAATGGGCAGGACAGTCAATAATGCTTGTTAGTATCTGTAATCCATGCTCCTCACCCAACACCAGCAGTTATTTTCGACACAGTAGCTAATATTTTACTAACACGTGATGCAAATATTTCTGCTAAATATTGCTGATTTTTCCAAGGAGGTCTGATAAAATCCAAAATGTCATAATTAGTTGTCTCATGTTAAGAGAGCAAGGTATTCTGTTGGACACTACTTTCCAACTGTTTTTATTGGTTGTGTTTTCTTTCTTTAGTCTAAATCTCCAGAAATTACATGGTGTTACACTCCATTTCTGTAATTCTAACTGTACTTTAAAATATTTAATTACAAAGGATGGAATCTCCCCTTATGGAAACAGACCCAAGGCAAATCTATAGAGTTTGTGAGCTGAACAAGAGTTGTTCATTTTTAAAACAACTAGTATTTACTCTCTAAAAGCATGCAGCTTTCCAAGTATGCATCAACCACAGTTTCCTATTACTTCTGTTCTCCATTCTTTTTAACCAGCAAACATTTTAAAAGGTACCGGTAGCTCCCTCCTTATTTGCTAATGATTCTTGATTCATGTAGCTAGTGAAATAACTACTAGTTGCCCTTAGTGGAATTGGGGCATATTTCCATGATCTTTGATAGCCCTAAGCAGAGATTTTTTTTCTCCAGGATTAAACTAGTACTTAATACCATAGATCTCTGATATTAAACCTTTAGGGAGAAGAAAAGATCAAAACTAGAGAATTCTAGTAGCTACATCCCCAAACACACAGACCTACATACACATACCGGTATCACCCTCAATAATGTTCCCGAATTCTCTGTAAAACAACCAAATGGCAGAAATATTTCAAAATATGATTTCCTCCAATCCTGACAAACAGCTTAGAACTAGACCATTTTGAGTTCCAAAAATATCAATATTGTGTGAAGGGATAAGTGACCCTTTGAAATCACCTGCCGCACAGAGAGCATCTCTTCCCCGGCTCCTACCACTGCTCCGAGTGGAGCCAAGGAGTCCTAACAAGACACATGCGGGTGGCCACTAGGGACGTCCCGTTTCCAGACACCATTTCACCAGCCACAGAGGAACAGCCACAGCAGGAAAACCCCTCAGTGGTGCTCTGGCTGTGTAAATGAGAAGTAATTAAAGAACTGCCCAGGTGGCCAGCCTTGGGCCATGAGGACACGCGGCACCGGACCCTACCTCGGACTTCCACACGACATAGGGTTGGCCGTGGCTGTCGGGTGGGGACTGGAGCTTTCTCTGCTGGAGCCACCTCCTGGGAGAAGCGAAGATGCCGTTGGGGCCTCCCCCGGAAGGGCAGAGGATGGCGCTGCGACCACTGCCCGGCCCGGCTAGGACCGAAGGCAGGTCCCACACCATGCTCTTCTTGAGTCCGCCGCGACCCAGGGGGACCTCATAGTCAAAGTGGAAGCTGCCAGACGGCGACTTCTCCTGCGGAGTGCTGGGTGTGGAGAAGGACGAGCAGAGGGGTCTGGGGGGCGGGAGGCGGTTGGCCCGAGGAGGTGGGCCCCGGGGAGAGAACGCCGAGCGAGGGCTCAGACCCTCGGCCAGGGACAGCGGGGAGCAGAGGCGGCCCCCGCTGGTCCCTCGTGAGCCGCCCTCTGCGCCCACCTCGCCCCCGTAGCCGCCGATCAGCGCCGGGTCCAGGCTGCGGGTCTGGCGCAGCTTCCTCTTGGAGAAGCCCTTGGCAGAAGCCGCGCTGCCCGAGGCCGGCGAGGAGCAGGAGAAGACACTGTGGAGCAGGCTCTGCGCGGACATCCCGGCGGGGCTGTGCCTGAGGGCCACCCTCTTCCAGCTCTCGGAACTGCTAGTGATTTGGGGCCCAGGAAGCAAGGGGGCTCGGGCGAGGCTGCCAGGCGGCGTCGGCCCGAGGCTCGCCGAGGGCGGTGGAGGGCAGTTCCCGGCTCACGCTCCACCAGCGCGCTCCAAGTGCCCCGGTGGGGGCAGAAGCAGGAGATCCATCACCAGCCTTCTAGGAAAAGGGGTGGGGAGGGAGGACTCCTTCGGTCGCGAGAACCTTCCCGCAGAGCCTAAGTCCTGAAGAGGGTAAGGAAGAAGAGGAGGAAGGTCAGGCACTCGCTGGGTTCCCAGCTCCGGCGGCCAGCGCCACTCCCCCTTCCCAGCTGAGGCAGGAGACGCCGCGCTCCAGCTCTCTGGCTCCGGACAGCCTCGAAGTCTCCAGCAAGCTCCTCCTCGCGCCCTAAGGACGGTCCCGAGGGCTGAGGAGGAGGCCTCCTGGGCGTGCGCCCAGGGCGCGTCCCTCGCTCTCCGCTCACCGTGAGAGAGACTTCCTCCCGCGCTGGAGCTGGGCACCCGATCTGCGCCCCAGGGCACCGTCGCCGTATCCGGGCCCCTGAAGCTACGCGTCTCTCCACCACTTGGCTGCTGCGCCCACTCCTCTGACTGGCTAGGCGCAAGAGTGTCTCCAAGCTCCAGGCTCCCCTGAGGTGCTAGTTTCTCGCTACAAAGTGGGGACACGAAACGCGCAGCGCCCAGGGCCTTCCAAGTGCTGAGCGGCTACGGTGGGAGAGAATTCCTGGCTGCGCTCAGGGAGCTAAGGGGAGAACCTCAGGGTCGGCTGTCCATGACCCGCCAGAGAGGGACTCGTAATAGTCTCAACCCAGCCTTGGGCCCAGGGCTGGCGCGGGGATGTCCCCGCACGCTCGAGCTAGAGGCAGCGCGAAGGGGGCGGCCCGGACGGGTAGGGTGAGAGAGAAGCCAGGTCTGAAGCTGGGGCGGAGCCAGAAGCAGGAGAAAGCAGAACGTGGAGTTTTCCAGGCGCCAAACCTGGGAGCGGCGCAGAGCGAGCGCTGCTCACCACTGATACTAGGTCTCCTGGGGAGAAAGCCCCGAGGACGGAAGTGCGGACCTTCTCCCCCGTCTCCCCTCCCCCAGAGCGAAGGGGGCGCCAGCTCCACTCACGTTTCTGGAAAGGAAAGGAAGTGTCAGATTGCACCCCACCCACTGGTGTCAGATGGGCAGCCCAAGACGGTTGCTCTGAAGTTGGAGTTAAATCTCCTGCCTTCTTCCCCCCCCAACCCCCCCGCTGTTTTTGTTTTTAAAAAGGAAGGATAGAGATTCAGTCCAAATGCAGTGGCTGCGATGAATGGGCTGGAAATGGGACCTACTAAGAAAACTGGGGGGTGGGGAGGGGTCCTCGCCGTGTAAGGGTCGCTCAGTAACTGTACTCGAGGAGGAGGGGTTAGTGGGGCCGAGCAGGCGGCAGGCGCCCCGCGCAGCTTCAGCCCACAGGCTGCGGGGATTGGCGCTCACAAAGCGATCAGTCTCCGAGTTCGGTCGTGGGACGCCTCTGGGCGCAGAGCGCTGCGGCCACATTCCTGGGAAGCTGGAAAACGCTGGCGATGTCCATGTTCCCTGTTGAAAACAAGTCTGGGAGCACCTTAGCGTATAAAATTCAAAGCCACGCCTGCTTCTGCGAGGCTTCTATGTTTCTGACCTAACATTTATGTTTTGTAACGCATCTCACAATCATCTCAGCAGGGGTACAGAGAAGACGCTGGAAATGCCTGAGTACTTTAACTGTGCTCTTGTGCCCTCTTTTACCCCTTCTGGATGAAGAGGATTTTAGGCAAATAGGAAGGTGTCTTTCCTTTACCGTTACTGTTATTAAAGAAAAAAAGCTTACTGTGAACTTATAAATGCAGGTGTTTGACACAAACATTCGCCTTGTTGTGTATCATATCAGAATTGTCCAACATGGATTTTGGAAAGTTTGTTTTATTCCCAGTAAAATTTTCAGGGGAAAATTTAATGTCCTTCTCGTCTTAAAAAGTGTGTTAAACAGTCCTAGGTATTTGACTGTCTAGGAAGGGTCACGTCATGAAATCTAATTAACAGAAGAATTCAATGCTTCCACAAAGGGCTTCATTTGGACCCCAGGATCTCTGACGTACCCACTTTTGTAAATGCAGCGGGACCCGCTACGCTCAGGGAGTTCCCTCCTGTAGCATTATGATCCATCTGCCACCACAAGACAAAATGAGAAACCAATTTCCTCTCACCCTCCCTGCCACCCAACGCTTCTCACCCTGAAACATACGCACACTCTCCAGTGGCTGTTGATTAGGTGTGCCGTGGAGAGCCACAGACTTTCAAACTGCTGCCTTTCCTGCCTGACTACACACACCAAATTACATGTGGGGGGCTGCTGTCATTTGCTTTCTTCCCTCCTCAAACAAATTCCAGAAGAAGGAAAAGACAGAGGGTCTTGCCTGACCTTTCCTTAGTTCACAATGTCATGTAACTTGTCACTAGCAAAAGAAAACAATGTCTTTGCCATTTGGATACCCGTGCATGGAACTGGTTACGCTTTGTTGGATTTTGGCATTTGGAGTACATGGTTAGCAAAGTCACAGTTCACGGGATTACTTACAATTCCGGTGGTTGGGCAAATGTAATTTATAGTTCATATATGTTAAATATTTCTCTAACTGCAAAAGATGACCATGGGGTTGAAAATGCAACCCTGCCACAATGACGTAGGACTAATAAGAATAGTGGCCAGGCACAAGGTCATACAGACTTGGTCATGGATGCTGGGGAGCCAGTGAGCAAAGGGACTCTTCTGTTGCTACTTCAGGCTTAAGAGCAGACACATCCAGTTCATTCATCATCTTGTTTTCAACAGGTCCTGACTCTCCATCAACCTAGAGCTTGCCTCAGCATACAGAACAATGAACAAATTGTTCTAAACATCCATAAAATTAAGCCCTGGCTCCCTTTTAAAAACCTGGTGTAAGTGTATGTGCTTTTAAAATACATGGGGAAAATGTAATGGCACTTCTGAAAAGAAAGATTTTATAAGATTGTTTGGATTTTTTAAATGATTTTTTTTAAGTATTATGATTTCCAATCTGACTGCTATTTGTCTTATTTTGCAGTCATTGTGGTGCATGGCTTTTTCATTCATTCTCAGTTAAGGCATCCTATTTTACTGTTGTTTGTTATATAATCCCTTTGCTTATACAGACCCAATTCACATTGGCCTTATGCCAGGCTTGATTAAGGAAGATCTGGGTTTCATTTACCAATTTCAAAAATGACTGGTTTTGTTATGTTGATCCCCAGAATCTTTCTTACAATTCATTAGCTGCTTCAGAAGCAATATAACTGAAAGCCTAGAAAGAAATAGCTTTGAATACAAGGCTTACATGCTGCAGTCCATGGGGTCACAAAGAGTCAGACACAACTGAGCAACAGAATAACAACTTTAAAAATCAGGTCTCTGAAACTTTGCTCATTTATTAGGGCATTTGATGTTGAAAAGTAGTGTCTGTATTTGTTTTGGGTTTTATTTTTTCCTCAGAGTTGAAGTTAATCAAGCTTTAGGATACCTTTTATTAAAGGGCAGAACAGTGTGTTCACTATCATGTTATAATTATCCTAGAAATTCATGATAAAAATATATCTATTCCATCTGGTCATGGCACAAGAATATTCTAATGAAAGTTCTAGAGACCTTGGTCTGACATCAAGCTATCCTCTTATCAAGGATCCTTGAAAATGCATCAGTGTTCTTTCTATTCCCTTGAGACACTGTTCTACAAACATACATCTTATTACCAAGGAATATATTCTGTTAAACCTAAATTTCCCTTTTCTTAACTTTATCCCTTGAAATTTTTCTTATCTCCAGCCAAGATTCCTCTTTCCCCTTGGTGTCTAGACCCTCAAGCTATCTGTAGATTTCTATCATGCCCCTTGGGTCTGACTTTGTGGTTTGGCTACACTATAAAGTTCATATTTTGCTTTAAAACCATCATTGTAGATGATCTCCTCTGGACACCCTCCAGTTGCTTATTTCTTTTCCATCCTGAGGTCCAATATTCCAGGTTAGGGCATCCTATTTTACCCTTGTTTGTTATATAATCCCATTGCTTATATAGTCCCAAATCACATTGAACTTCCTGATTGACTGCCATATAATATTTCAGACTTCTATCTGATTGGCTTCCAATAAATCTTAAGCAGCATCACGTGATTTTTTTTTCATCACTGATTTTTGTTTCATCCTGTCTGTGTCTCTCAAACTGACTGTGATTCCTCTGATATAATTTCTACATTCTTAGTGGTACCTAGGGTAAACAGTTCATAGTATCTGACTATCCCATAGAAATCAAAGGTTCTAACTCTAAGCTCCTGAAATATGAAAAGGAGGACATGATTTTAATCTGTATGACATGGAATATATGAGAAACAGGTGAAGAACTTTTACAGAACTTAAGAATTCTAATTATATTAAATAGTCATACTACCCCATGCCTAAAATTCTTCTTGATTTTAAGCTAGGATTTTTCTCTTTTTTGCAGCTGAAGCAAGAGTGTTTTTTTTTTAAAATTCCTGTTCTAGGATCTCCCTGAATGAATGTAATATCCAAGAATTTAAACTACAAATGATGGATGTCAGTGGAAACAAATCTCGATTTGCAGGATAATCTTATATGGGTAATATCAGCAAAAACTCACTTTGTTAAACACCAACCCAGCACTGAGGAACAATGATCACTTTCAAAAGATGGAAATGGTGTCATAGTTATTCTCTAGATAGGGAATAATATGATTTACAGGATAAAATGGTATTTGAGAGATTGAATCCTAACTGGTACTGTGAGGTGAAAAGACTAAGATATAAGTTTGACTCTCTACCTTAAAGGACAATTTAATATTATAATACCAAAAGAGATATCCAGAAAAAATATTCATGCCAACACTAAAGGGAAAAAGCACAAAGCACCAAACATGTCCATATTATCTGGTAACTTAAATTTAGTGTTATATTCAAGATTATCTACTCAGCTTGCTCCTAACCCTTTAATCAATTGTTATTATAACAATATAAGAACAAGTAATAGTTGTTGGAACTTCCTATGTGGCAGGCACTGGGGTGAAATTATGCATGCATTACCCAGATCAATAGATACACACACCCACAGCTGTAATAGTTAACCCCCAGTTCTACAGATGAAGGAAACAAAATCTAGAAGCATCTAACTCCCTAGTTAAGTGGCAGAGCTAGTACTCAGATCCATGTGATCTAACCTCAACTACTAACTCTTGGAGGACGAGAATTGCAGAAGGCGAGGGTGGGATGATCTGAGAGAACAGCATCGAAACATGTATATTATCTAGGGTGAAACAGATCACCAGCCCAGGTTGGATGCATGAGACAAGGGCTCGGACCTGGTGCACTGGGAAGACCCAGAGGGATCGGGTGGAGAGGGAGGTGGGAGGGGGGGATCGGGATGGGGAATACATGTAAATCCATGGCTAATTCATGTCAATGTATGACAAAAACCACTACAATACTGTAAAGTAATTAGCCTCCAACTAATAAAAATAAATGAAAAAAAAAGAAGCTTTTCAATTTGGAAGTGCTTTGGGACCATTTCTGGATGCATCTCAATTTGGTGATTTGCTGTCTAGCTATATGACCTTGAGCACCTCACTTTACAACTTTCATCCCCACTTAGCAGTCTACAAAATCGTGTTCACTTCAAAAGGCCTGCGAATGAGTAAAGGACCTAATGTATGCAGCATGCCTAGCATAGAGCATCCTGGAGAGAACAAGCAGAGTGATGGCAGTGTACTATCACCTACATAAAATCAATATTTTTGAATTACTTGATGAATCCAGCTATACTGAAGGACCATCCCTAATGTGAGTTCACCTGGTCTTACACTCAAAGGATCTACTCAAACCTTTCTAATTTGCTAATGAAACCTTTGTTTAAAACTCTTAGAAAAAGACTCATAGTCAACCCAGTGAATAGTCTAGCTCGGATTTTCACCTCCCTCTCCAAGTTTTAGAGGTGTTGTCAATATCAACTAAATAATACCAATATGGTCTTTCAAGGCAGGGCACTTTTTAAGTTAAGTGAAAGACAGTTTGGGTTTCTCTATATTCAGGGCAGAATGTAGAAAATTCTTTTCCCTCTATTACATTTATATACCAACAGGTCAGTTTTTTGACTCAGTGTTTTGGATCAGTTTCACATTGCCCAGAACTAGAACCATGAACTCTCTCTCTTTAAAACAGGCACACAGTTGCCTTTAAAA